TAAAGGTCTCCACTCACAAGTACTTCTTTTACCACATACGAATATCAGTAATTGAAAATATTAATTAATGAATATTACACTTAGAAGTTAGATTTGCTTCTTCTTAGCTCTTGTGATACAATGTATTATTTTTCTTATTCAGGATATATTCTCTCTTTTCACTAGATCTACTCCAGTTGAACTCTTGGGTTTGGGTCTCTTTTTTTTTTTTTTTTTCCTTGGTCTCTTAACCAGGATATCCATATATTTCTCTGTAAAATTCAACTATGTACTATGGCACTATATACATTAAAAACAAATATGAAATTCAAAGTTTTTTTCTGCTGGTCTAAAGGCATGGCATATCTCTGCAAGTGGAATCACAAGGGAATAATGCATGTAGGCCAGGCACAAACTGAAATACATCATAGAAGAAACAACTTTTATTAATATATCCATCAATACTATCAGATGAGAAGAAATCAAAATGCAATTGAGATAGGGAAGTACTTTTTAGTAGACGTCAAAAAACTGAGTTCTTTTGCATGTCATAATGAAAACAGAACTGCAGGGGTCATATCAGGGACTTCATTCTGAAAGTAAATCACTTCAACTGTGGAAGTTCATGAGTATTTTAACATAAATTTCACCTGTCTGAAATCAGATTTAACCTCTTTTTTAAAGGGAGATCTCAGACTAAACATATATCTAATATGTATCATATAATTTTGAGCCTTTAGTAAATCTATTCAATTTATTTTGTTGGAGGGAGAAACTTTTCTATTAGGAGCTACATTACAGGTTTTTTTTTGGTTTTACTTTAAAAACTGCCCACAATGTAAGAGGTGTCAGACTGGAAACTAGTTTTTTTCTCAGTGCCTAAACCCATTCCCAGGGTACCATCCCTCTCATGCTTGTGGTAGTGGATATATTTCACTTTTCACTTCTTGTTGCTTTCCAGTGCTAACAGTAAATAAATGAAAATGCCTTTTCTCTGGTCATTCCCCCAAATGTGCTCACCACCTTTGCTTATTTAGCATGTAGGCAAGCTGGCACTCTTCCCAACATAAAGAGCATATAAATGCTGGCAGCTATAGGGATGTGGCACAAACAGCCAAGCTCATTTGCACAGATGGACACACAAGTCCTTAGGTCTCTGTCAGAGTTTCTAAACCCCAGAAAGTATGCCAAACAGCTGTTCTGTATTGTCCTAACTTTGCTTTCACTGGGCAATAAAACAAGTATCGTTTGCCTTTTGTAATCACTATGTTTATATCATCTTTGCAGTTGATACAAACATTGAAAATAGCTGGTCACAATACACCAGTACTGGAAAAAAAAACAAACATAAAAAACTAGCAAAACTTACCAATATCCTTTCTATCTGTTCCCACTGTCTCTGGGAAGCACATTGCAAAGTTATGCTGACTTTACATGTTTGCCTTTTTCAGGTCTCTCTCTCCTTTATTAGGAGCCTGAGTGAAGGGTAAGAAAGTTCTAACTAGATTATTTACTGCAGTGTTACCATTGTAACTTCTTTTTGGCAGTGTGAGCTTACACAAGTGTGTTACAGCTTCCATAACTATATTTTTCCTGCTAAACTTTTCTATGTTCAACTCATCAACATTCTTCTGTTAATTTTTCAGATTTTGCTTTTTTGGGGGTAATTCAAGAAATTTACTTTCCCAGAAATGTGTCTCAACAGGATTTTGCACAATATAATTATGCTTTTGATTTTAACACCCTTCTCTCTACTCTGGTTGTTATTTTATAGATCTGTGTGATTTTTGGTCTTTTGCTTTCTTTTTGATCAAACACATAATTTCACACTTGTTCTTTTTATAGTTCTCTCAGGCTAATGCCAACATATTTCTTATATAACAGTTAATGAAAATTCATATAATGCAAAGCAGGTAAAGAATCACAAGCCGAAGCATGTTATGATGTTAATGTAAGATTTTGAAAAGCTAGATTCCATTAAATCTTGCTTATATACTCCTTATATGACCTTCTCTGGGATCTCCATTACTAAGATGGCCCTGACATTTTCAAACACAGTGATGCCTGAGTTTGCTTACCTGGATCCTAGGGTTCATAGCTTCAGGATAGGAGACCTGCCTTGTGCCAAAGTAGGATCTGGTGGAGCTGCTGTACCAGAACAACTTGATCCTTATCCTGAAGGGAGCACTCTGAGATAGCGGCAAAATACACATTAAAGGAGAAGCCACTCTCCTCAGTGAGGAGAATCCTCACTGTAGCCTGTCAGTTTTACTCTCAGTGATGTCAGAAATATGATCTTAAACCACTGGTCAGTCTGAAAAGGACCAATTGGAGTAATTTTCCTGCAGCTCCCGTATTTATCATATTTTCACTGTATCTAATGTCACACAAAACTTGAAGTTTTCTGCCCTACAGAAAAATTGCTTACTCAGTTCTGCAAAAACTGCAGAAATTCTACTTTCCTAAAAACAGAAGCTTTAGGAGATTTTTCATAATTAGGGACATTTGATCGAATTCGTTTTATCACCCCTCTTAAATAAAATAATACAGGTAGTAGGTGACACAGGGCTTTTTTCCTCAAAGAAAATTAATTCTTTTGATTCTGATTTTCATCCCAAATTAGAATGAAATGACAAAGTGTCAACATTTCTCTCTGCACCAGAAGCTTACAAAACTTTCTTCTTAGAAAAATATTAAATTTAGTTTTTTAATAATCATACCTGCTAGCAATTACAATTACATAACTTGTAGGTCAACTATGTGGGATATACTGGACAGAAAGTTGATGTATGCATGTAAACTGAGGTGCACAGGAGTAACAGCTATTTGTCTGGGATTTCCAGCTGTCCACCAGCTCTGTCTTAATTACCGTCACAGTTCCAACAGGGATGTGACTGGGGGCAAAAAATCCAGTTGTGAGAGAAGATGCTTAAAAACATTAACCAGGTAGATAGTCATAATATGACTATTGCAATTTCATTGTTTTCTTTTTATTCATCAAGTTACTGTTGGATACAGCTACACGTTTCTATAGTGACTAACACATTGACAAACAATATTGAGAAGATTTGGAATATTTTTGAATTTTATTTTTATCATGTAAAACTTCAAAGATCAGATCAAAGTGTTCCAAGATAAAATATTATATTCAGAATTTCCTAAAGCAAATTTGAAGTTTTGTGGTAAAGTTGAAATTTAACATGGGTAATTTTTCATTGTAAAAAATTTGAGCAGAAATTTTCCAAAACTTTAACAAATTTATTTCCACAATCTTTTAATCACTGTCAGATGTTAATGCCTTTAGTGAACTACTCTAGTAATGTTAAACACAGAATATTAACAGATTAACTACTCTTAGATCTCATTCTGTCCCTTCTAACAGTCTTCATTCATCATGAAATTAATGAAGTGTTATTAATAATTTTCTTCAGTCTTTACAATTAACACTGTACTGCAGATTGGCTCAACTCAGAGAAAATTAGAAATTCCTCATTTTGTATCTCCCTGTGGATGTAAACTGGCAGGAGAGATAGCAGCATGACTTAAATGTGTAACTGCTAAATACGCAACTCTTTGGATACAAATTAGTCAGAGTTGAAGTTAACATCACTAAATCATTTGTCTTTAGAATTCTGTTGTATTACGTTGTGGTGAGCTGTTAGCACTTGGATGCCATGAGCAAGGAACCATTCCTATTATTCTTCCAAAATTATATCCATACTGTCTCTATTAAAATTGCCGTACTACAACTCCCGTATTACAGTATTATAGTGTATAAGTAGTAATTGTTGAAAAGTAAAGTAGTTTGTACTTGAAATTTAAGAAGAGTGACCAGTTTTTGACTTATCAATGAAAAGAGACTATGGATGAAGATGGTGAAGAGAACTAACTTCTTAATGGAGACAGTGGAAGTGTGTATGGAACAGCATACATATCCACTCCAGCAAGTCTCCCAGTGGCTCCACCCATTCAGTCAGGCTACACAGGAGTAAGAAGGGAATTGAGTTAGAAAGTAAAAGAGAAAAGAAGTATGACAGATAAAATAGGGAAGACCTGTGGTAGAAGAAGAGGGTAAGCAATAAATTAGGCATTGACGAAGAATGAGTTAATAAAGAGGAGACATTTGTAGAAGCCAGAATAATTTAGTTCCAGGCAATTCAAAGCTATTTAATGTTCCCAACTTTATCGCTTTCCTGAGTCTTAAAATCCTATATCTGCTTTCAATTCCTTCCACATTGCTACTTATATTTTAAATAACAAGGCTCTTTTATCCTTTAGTAAAAACAGCAGACTCTGCTGTTTGTTGCATAGTACATAAGTTATCATTATGTCAGGATAATGATAAGAGGCTGACTTATGTAAAAATAATTTATTTTTAATTATTTTTTTTTTAGCCCCTAGAGTACACTAAGGAAAAAAAAAAAAGTCACAAATATAGATGAGGAGCCAGAGTCAGCAGGATAATGAACTGCTTTCTACACATCTTTGGCAATTTCAGGTATACACTACAGAAGTAAATTTTCTATGCATAATTCTTTCAAGCACTTTTACCATCTGGCCTAGAGTTCTATTTCCAGATTACTTTTTGGTATTTACAAAACATTAAGTAGTATCACTGTCTATTTACAAATAGTAGGTATATTTTAGCCCACTTTTTCTGCAACAGAGAGAGCTGTTTACATGAAATGTGTACTTACATTTATGGCTATTTCCTGTTAGTGGTCTCCAAACTACTGTAGGTCAACTGATACTATAAAAAAGGGGATTATTTTTTTCTCAACTTTCACAGATGTAAAAGGCTTTCTCAGAAGTAGTCTCAGTGGAAAACAGACTCTGGAAGTCTTTAAAACCTTCTTTCTAAAAGGGCAGGAGGAACCATTGGTAGGAGAGTGATCCCAAGTATTCAGTTTTCTCTTTTTCAAGTCAGGAGCTCAATAAATAAAGTCAGGAGTTCTTCAGTTTTTGGAACATGTTTTTTCCTCTTTTTTTTTTTTTTTTTTTTTTTAAGTAAGAGTTTGGCTGTATGACAGGGGTAAAACACATGCGCACAGATGTGCACAGATCTCTCTATCCTTAGCTGTTCTTCCCAAGTAATTAAGATCAACATAGCTGAACTGCAGAACATGGTGTTTCTTTGATTTATAACTTGCAGACTGAATGGCCTTCAAGACTTTTATAAGTTTCTCAACAAAGTAAGCAAGGCAGAAGTACTTAGTTCCTCCCTACTTTATTCCGTTGTAGAATGGCTCTTTGATCTTTAGCCAGAGATTGGAGCTGGATATGATTACTCAGTGTTTCTCACTGAGATGGAGCTAAGGGAATTGGGTAAAATTACCAGCACCAGCCCAGGACAAACAAACGATATGTTTCATGTGATGCTTAACTAAACTGCAGAAAGTATTAACACAGAATATTGTGAAGGACAACATTTCATAAGGATTCAAAAGTTATTAGATATGCCACTCGAAGATGTTTTACACAATGTCCTGAGTATACTACAGAAACTATCTTGCCCTTGATAATCTTCCTCTGCCAAATGTCTACTATTGACCATTTTGGAGTCAGGAGCCAGGGCTAGAAGCATTTTTTCATGCAACATAGTCATTCCTATAATATGTTCCATGCTCATAAACTGGTATGCAGAGTAAGATTTTTCAGTTTTTGACACACATGATCTCTTGATGATCATGCCAAATGGAATTGTTAGGTGCATTTTATCAAGCATTTGAGTAACCCTAGCATTCTCAGGGACAAAAAGCACTATCAACTCATTCAGTCAAATTGTTAAGATATTTATTCTACTGAAGTTTCAGAGATAGTTATTTTTCATATGGAGCATTCTGCCTTTTGCCTTTTGAAAAGCCAGTTGTTCTCTCAGTTTCAATGAGCCCTTTAAGCATAACGAGAATATTGTGGGACTATGAAGGCTTAAAAGCTCTGCTTGTTTCTATGCTGTAATAAATGATCATTTCAGTACAATGACACAGAATTCTTTTACATCATTAAGTCTTCACATTCTTTCAAAGACATAATTTAATACAAATTTTTTTTCACATATGCAGTCTTCCTATTTGTCTCAAAGAAATTTAAGACTTCAGAAACAAGCTGCACAGGTAGCCTGTACTAGGCACCCACTATAATGTCAACCCTACATGTCTTCTCTTTAATCCTTACCCATAAGCTCTAGGCTGGGTCATCATTCATCCCCAGGCAGAGCTCAGTGCATTCCAGCTCTTCTCTCCTATAAAGAGCTATGTCTTTCCAGCCTGTCTTCCCTGAAAAGCCTGTATCTCTCCATTGCAGCACTCCAGTCAAAGGTGCCATGCCACTATGACTTTGTGATCCCAAAATGATCATAACACTGCAGCTGCACGCAGATCTCTAATTAATGTTCATGCTTCATGTGTGAGCATTAGTGTACAAGTATATCACTAATAGCAACATTTATTGTACCGTCTTCACCAACTTACAAAACTCCAACTCACCTTCACAGTAATCAGATAAGACTCACACTTGATTTTTACTGGTGTTGCCAAAGCACCATTTTTTGCCCTAGAAGTGCTTTACATTTCTATCGTATTTTATCTCCACGTGTAAACCTCTTTGGTTCAAAACTCATGTTAACCTTGTTTTGCATTCCTTTCCCATGCAAAGGTATTTAACTGTAAGTAGCATACAGCAAAGAAGGGCCAATTCTAGTACCCAGACAACTCAAAAAGGTAAGATGTGACAGAGAACTCGGATGTTTTAGAAAGGTATGGCACCATCTAAAAAACCCTCAAATTTTGCTTTTACAGAGGCAAAATAAAGGGATTGTCTCCATCTTCTATCGCTGAAAACTGTCAGTCACATGTCAAATGAAAACAAGCAAAGACTTCTTAGGCCTCTAACTATAAAACAGACAGGATAATCATACACATACCAAATGCTACTTTTAGTAATTTTGCTCCTTAATGCATTTCAGCTGACTCCATGTTGCTTGTAGATTAATCTGAATTTACTGGTATAAAAAGATACAAATGAACCATAGTCTTATTCATTGTTCTTTTTATTCATGTGTGGTCCTTTTAAAAGACTGAACCTTCTGGGAAGGATGTTGAAGCATTTTCCGTCTTCATAACAGGACACTATCCTTGACAGTTTTGTCCCAAAATCTCAACATCAGGTTGCCTTACCATCCTTCTTGTTCTGGATACTATGTGACATGGCCTTATGTGGAAATCTTCTCCGCTATTATTTGGAGAGAAGGCTGCATCCATTCCCCTGAGTTTGGGTTTAGGTATTGTGATATTGTGTTGATCATTAATTAGTTGTTAGGCAGCTTGCTATTGTTGTCTCTGTGTAGGCGTGAAAGCAGTGCTCATAAAGAAATACAGTTTGTTCCAAGCTTAGCTATCCATCTTAGCAACCAAAGCCTGTAATCACACTTCTCATTTTGAGGTCTCATTGTGTGATTTTTCAGGAATTAGAGCTGCACCTTCAGACTTCTCTGTGGTCTGGTTTAAGCTGTCTGTGGGATTACATATCTTCTGGTGAAATCCTGACTGCTGACAATAGGTATATTCAAACAGAAAAGAAATATCATCTGCCTCAGGAATTAATCCCATGTGAATTCAAAAGACAGCTTTCTTTGAGCCTATCAATCAGCAAGTCATGTAGGAGAGAATTCAGACATCACTAAGTAAACATGATGACTTGTTCTGTGCTAAAAAGATTTATGCCAAATATTCAATATACAATGAAATAAATCTTTACATAAATAATAAAAAAACGGTTGGTTGGACTGATTTAGATACTTTTAACCAGAATCTTTCCCAGAAAGGAAAGTGAGCTGCATATTATGTAGTTTTATAACATCACTTAGATATAACATCTATCTATGCCTTTTGGAAGCATCTGGAAAAGCAGAGGAATTGGAGGAAAGTCAGAAACAAGCCATATGTTGCTTTTTTCTCAGGTTAGACTCCATTGATGCTAAAGCAAAGAGCAGCAGATAATAGCCAGTGCACTTTCATTTAAAGCAGTGTGTATATTTCCTACTACACAGTTGCGAAGTTTCACTGGGGAGGAAGAGGGTGGTTCTTCAAGGAACTGAGAGAAAGAATGGGATCACCAAGAGTTCCTAGAGACTTCAGTTTCAAAAAAAAAAAAAAAATAATATCAGTCATCTAAAAAACCTTTCTTGCATATTCTTTTTTATTGATACTTGTGTTTGCTTCATATCCTAGGACAACATTTTGTTTCCTACTGGCCTTCAGACTGTTCTGGAGAAGACAGAAGGCCAAAAGATCACCAGAATATTTCTGCTTCTAATGAAAAATTACAATTTCTTCTCAAGTATCAGACAACTAATAAGAAAATGCGCATCACCAATTCAGTTTATTTTTTCTCTGGAAGAGCCTGGCATTTCTGTCTCAGAAACATAAAATGTGCATGCGTGCATGACTGCAGTGATACTACGTTTAATAGAATCATAGGGAATAGAGTTGAAATATTGGTGGATTAAACTGCATAGTTTCATTATCCTTAAGTTTACCTATCAGAGAAATAAAAATTTGAAAAATAATAAATGTCATAAAAAAGAAGTAATTTATGGCAACATTTTGCCATATAAGTAGCTGGATTACAGTTGTTTGACATCTGTAATGATTCATGGCCATATCTAGTGGAATACAACCATGCTGACCCAGTATATCATACCACCTAGAAAGAAAAAGAGGATACATGAAGATGACACTTGAATTTGAGTGAGGGCTTCTGGATTCCAGCAATGGAGAACTATATTTACCATAAGTCTAAACTTGCCCAAGCATAATTTAAGGTATAGTGGTCCACAGCTTGTGCCAAAAATAGTTCTGTACAATATGTATACTTCTTGTAGATAAAATCAACTCTTTCATTGACCAGTTTCCTTTAACCACTGTGATGAACAGATACTTACTTATGAACCAAACATATAGCAGAGTGACTGATGTGTGGATGATTAAGTCACAATACCATAATAAACTAATAAAGTTGGTACACATAATTGATTCTAGACCTTGGCTGCATATTTGGCAAAACAGTAGCAAAAAACTTCCAGCTGAGGCAGCAACAGAAGTGACAGAGAATTTGACGTAAACCAGAGCAGAGCATCATGACATAATATACTTCAAAGTACCTAAGTTTTTAAAATCAGCATAGTTGAATATTCTATTAACCTGACTTCTAGGGTGCAATGCCAATGCTTTCTTCTGAGAGAATAATTCAAAATCATGTTAGAACATATATTTAATGCAAGTACCTTCACTTTCTTTGATCCTCTGTTCTTACATATAGGGTCCCAGGTTCTTACAGGTGTACGCAATTCTGGAAGGATATCAGCAGTTCCAAGCATTTCTGGCTAGAATATTAGTAAAATTAGGATAATACGTCCATAGATCAACATCCCACGCTTTTTTGTTTGGTTATGGGGCTTTTTTTTTTTTTTAAAAAAAAAAGATTAAAATGGTAAGACTTTTTACAGCTGAAACAACTTTGGATGTACTGTGAACAAATCACATTGTTTTATGCAAAGACAAGCTAAAAAATTTATGAAATGTTTATGTTTTCTATACTAAAGCCTAAAATAAGTGCTGAATATGTTGGCTGTTATGTATTGAAATATTTTTAAATTATATAATATTTTCTTTTATATTTTATATGTATCACACAATAGTAATAATAAATCTTGTGAATAATCCATATGTTTATGAGTGTCCATTCTGTGTATGGCTTTGAGTAAAATAAATTCTTCTAAAATGCAGGTAAAATGTTTGCTAGACTTTCCTTTGAGAGATCTTATAGAAAACTACAGCTTTTCAGCATGTGGTTTGGATTGAATTTTCTGACTACTTTCTTAGAAGATTTTTAAATAAATGAAATCTCTCATGTCACCCTTAAAATGGTATAATTTTAATTTCATGAGATGCTAAAGCAAAGGACTGCCAGTGGCTACATGAAAATTAAAATAACACCCCCAAAATAGGAAATTCCACATTAATTTCTTAGATTTGCATTAAGCCACAGCCCTACTAGTTTTGCCATTAATGTCGTGTATTTTTGTGGGAAATTTGATCCCAAAATTTAGACCAGAAGAATGTGGTCTGCCTCTTCTACTGATATTATAAAAGGCACATTCTTAAATTAAGAAAATAAATATAGTTAATGAAATCAATGTTTTAAAGATATCAGTGTTCTAAAATTAAAATGTACTTTATTGTAACCCAAAGCTGTATTATAATACAACCCTTGTCATGTGTTTTTATGTCTTCCTGATAAGAAAATATAATTAAACCCCCCCTCTTTCCATATGTTAACTAGAGAATCTTTAGGTAATATTTATTATAAAATTATTTTCTTTTAAGAGCACATAATACAAAAGTCTGTGTGCCACTGATGAAGCAGTTTTAACACCATAAAAACTGGCATAAAAAGAGAGACAACAGTGCAGGAATGATCTCTCAGAAGAGATACTACAAGAGATACTACAGCTCTACTCTGCACATTTTTAAGATCTAAAGCAGTGGTATCATATACTTAGAGAGAAAACTTTGTTTCTTCAATTTGGTTTATTTCCACAAGCCCACTCAACCATAAAAATATCCTCATTTCAAAAAAAAAAAAAAGTAGAATATTGGTGGAAAGGGAAATTCCCTTGCTTTCAAATACAAATATACTAGCTTTTGGCAAAATGTTTCTGAAGTGTCAACCCTTTTTTATCATATAAAGAGTGGGGTGTTTGATAGGAGGAAGGCTGGATTTTTTAGGAACGTCCATTAAGAGAGTGCATACAAATTGAGTGTAATTTCAACTATTTGGTGGACTAAGATCCAAATATCTGTCTAGAGAGAAAGTCTGTCAGAAAATGTAGTATAAATGGGGACTTTCCATATGGACATAGTACTCTGTCCCTGAAGAAGCATAGATAAACAGTTTACACTGCAAAGTTAGAAGAGGTGAAACCTTGGACAATTCTGACAAACTGAATTCACACAGCATTGGTGATGCTTTAAGTTTCTTAAGAAGTGTAAAAAAGAAACGTTTCATGCTAACTTTATTACTTTGGACAGGCAATAGATGCTTTAAGAGCTCTACATCTTGGTTACTTCTGCTTGTTTTGTGTTTATCATTTATGTCCCTTCCAAAAATAATTTTGACCAGCACTCATCTGATTAAGGTGTAAGTCACTTCCTCATCACACATGGTATTTATTTCAAAGAGTATGCTTATTTTTGTAGAAAAGACTATAAATACATACAATGCTATGTATTTTTATTTAATTCAGATTTATGTAAACATAATGCTTAACGGACTTCCACATTAATTCTCTGTAAGTAGAATGTATAAAATAGCTATGTTTTGATTTTTTACGTTAAACTTCAAAACTGTTTTGAATCAAAGTGATTTGAATTAATGGCACCAATTATAGCACTTCAAGCTATTCTATTTCTGTCTTTTCCCACAGAGAAAACAAAAAATTACAGAACAAAACAAAATAAGATTGACTCTATACCCTTCTTTGAGATGCTGCCAATAATATTGCATTTGATAACCTTCTCTTCTAGGTCAAGGTAATGGTAATATTAATATACGAAAACAAATCTCAGTCAGTGTATGCTCTTTGGGACAGTAGGAAATATAATAATAACAGTGTAATTTTTTGCCTTTGTGACTGAAACAAATTAGCCTGAGTGAAAGATCCCTTAAGATTAGTCATCATGTTATTGCAAGGAACAACAATAAAAAGAACATGTACTAGTTTGTAGTCTCTCCAGATGTCTGCACTGTTTAACCATCGAAAGTTAAACTTATGTTTTTCTGGAATCTTTAACTGTGGCATCCTCTGGCTTATATTCATCAGACCTTTGTTAACATATTTAGGAGTTTTCTTATTTAATTTCACTGTGAGTGGACAAATTATTAAATCATAGAATCCTAGAATCGTTAGGGTTGGAAAGGACCTTAAGATCATCTAGTTCCAACCCCCCTGCTGTGGGCAGGGACACATTACGCTAAATCGTATCACCCAAGGCCTCGTCCAACGTGGCCTTGAACACTGCCAGGGATGGAGCATTCACAACCACCCTGGGCAACCCATTCCAGTGCCTCACCACGCTAACAGGAAAGAATTTCCTCCTTATATCCAACCTAAACTTCCCTTGTTTAAGTTTTAACCTGTTGCCCCTTGTCCTGTCACTACAGTCTCTAATTAAGAGTCCCTCTCCAGCATCCCTATAGGCCCCCTCTAGATACTGGAAGGCTGCTATGAGGTCTCCACGCAGCCTTCTCTTCTCCAGGCTGAACAGCCCCAACTTTCTCAGCCTGTCTTCATACAGGAAGGAGGTGCTCCAGTCCCCTGATCATCCTCTTGGCCCTTCTCTGGACTTGTTCCAACAGTTCCATGTCCTTTTTATGTTGAGGACACCAGAACTGCACACAATACTCCAGGTGAGGTCTCACAAGAGCAGAGTAGAGGGGCAGGATCACCTTAAGCGACCTGCTGGTCACACTCCTTTTGATGCAGCCCAGGATACGGTTGGCTTTCTGGGCTTCAAGAGCACACTGCCAGCTCATGTTCATTTTCTCATCAACCAACACGCCCAAGTCCTTCTTCACAGGGCTGCTTTGAATCTCTTCTCTGTCCAACCTGTAGCCGTGCCTGGGATTGCTCCAACCCACGTGTAGGACCTTGCACTTGGCATGGTTAAACTTCATGAGGTTGGCATCAGCCCACCTCACAAGTGGTCAAGGTCCCTCTGGATGGCATTCCTTCCCTCCAGGGTATCAACCGAACCACACAGCTTGGTGTCATCAGCAAACTTGCTGAGGGTGCACTCAATCCCACTGTCCATGTCAACAACAAAGATGTTAAACAAGAGCGGTCCCAACACCGATCCCTGAGGGACGCCACTCGTTACTGGTCTCCAGCCAGACACTGAGCCATTGACCACAACTCTTTGTGTGCGGCCATCCAGCCAGTTCTTTATTCACTGAGTGGTCCATCCATCAAATTGATGTCTCTCCAATTTAGAGACAAGGATGTTGTGTGGGACAGTGTCGAATGCTTTGCACAAGTCCAGGTAGATGACATCAACTGCTCTACCCCTGTTCATCAGTTCTGTAGCCCCCTCATAGAAGGCCACCAAATTGGTCAGGCAGGATTTCCCCTTAGTGAAGCCATGCTGGCTGTCACCAAGCACCTTGTTGATTTTCATGTGCCTTAGCATACTGTCGTGGTTTAAACCCAGTCAGGTAAATCGTTCACTCACTCCCCCCCCTTCTTGTCCTCCCCCTACTCCCGGAGGGACGGAGAGGAGAATCGAAAAGAATGCAACTCCCACGGGTTGAGATAAGAACAGTTTAGTAACTAAGGTATAACACAGATCACTACTGCTACCACCAGTGATAATAATGATAAAGGAAATAACAAGGGAAGAGAATACATCATCTCACCACCAGCTGACCGATAACTCGCCCCCCCCAGCCCGACCAAGCTCTCCGATACCTCCTCCAACCGTGCAGTCTCCCAGCCCTTCCGGCTAACTCCCAGTTACCTCCCAGGCATGACGTGCTGTCGTATGGAATACCTCTTTGGTCAGTTTGGGTCAGGTGTCCTGTCTCTACTTCCTCCTGGCTTCCCCTCCTCCCTGGCAGAGCATGAGGCTCACAAAGTCCTTGGCCAAACCAAAACATCCTTGTTATCAGCTCTGTTCCCGAGCTCAAAGTCAAAACACTGCACTGCATCGGCTACCAAGAAGGAGAAAAATGACTGCTACTGCTGAAACCAGGACATTATCCACCCCTTATTCCATACCATTCAGGTCATGCTCAGATCCCACATTTTCAATATACCATCACTCTTATCTAAGTGCATGGACCAGTAGCTATAAAACTGCTGCGTCCATCTGGTCCATGATGCCAGGCTCCATCTCTTGTAACAGTCTTCCAGAGCAGGAGAGACTGTGTGCAGTGTTCACACTTGTGAATAACCTGGGCAATAGTGTCCATTGTTAAGTCCACCCCTCGATCATGAGTCCATCTCTATGTTGCATCTCTGCTCTGATGGCCTGAAGTGCCATGGGCCCACCAGGCTCAAAATAATTCACTGTCCCCTTAAGCAGTTTCTGCAGCTTGTTGCAGGGGACTCCATACAGCTGCCTTCCATCTCCGATGCTTCCAAAGCACTGGAGGGGCCCAGTGGACTAGATACTTGCCCATACTGTCCCACACACCCTGCCACTCATGACTGTCCAGCCTTGGGGAAAATCTCTTGGTCCCCCTATATCGTCGTCTAACCCCAGACAAGACCCAAACCTGACTCTGCTTAACTTTTGAGATCAGACAAAATGGTTGTGGGTAGAACACAGCCTGTGTGTGTGCCAACATGCTGATCCCCATCACAATCAGCAGGCAGGTCCCAAGGATACCCAAAGGCCATTCAAAACCTTCAGAACTCTCAGTTGATGCTGCCATACTTGTCACTGGGGCTGGTGTAGCTGCTGTACTTGTCACTGGGGCTGGTGTAGCTGCTGTGCTTGCCGGCTCTCCCACCACCAGCTTCTCTTTTCCTGAGTCCAGCTCTTCCTCCTCTGCCTTGCTGGGAAATGCTGCGTGGTCTCCTGCATCCTCCTGGGGCTCGGCGGGCGGCTTCCGGGGGATGCTCTCGGCCTCCGCGGGGCTCGGGTCGGCCGCGGGGCTCGG